ATCTGGATCTGGTAGAATCCAGTGCTGGGTGGGTGATCATATGATTCGCATGCAGACACCAACATTACAGCGCAGCCCTATTGTTCATCCAATGAAGAATCTGTGTTCTTTTGAAACTGAACTCAAGTTCCAAGTATCTACATTTCTCAATATTTCATTTGCCTGAGACAAAACTTGTCTATAGACATCAAATCAAGCGCCCTCACGTCTCAAGTCCAAAAACGAGCCCAAGCAATATTCGCCGTGGACATAATATGAAGGTTCCAATTGGCCATGGGGAATTTCTCATGGTTTGTCGATTTTCTAAGTTGTAGTTAGAAAGCTTATACTTTATTTATCCAGACATGTCACTGCTGCAAAAGTTTACGCATATGCTTAAATTCATACTTACAAGCAGAAGATAATACAACAGCAATGATCTAAGATTGTGCAGGGCAGATACCTTAGATCAAGCTCGGGTAGCTAATAAGACTCCATTCACGAGAGACCTCACTATTTCAATCTTCAGAACATCACGATCGCACCTCAGCCAAAGATCGTATGAGGATGAAGCTGAGGACCCGGGGATTATACTTGGTTCGTCTTCCCATGACCCAATAGCAGTCCACACGTTCCAGAAGTTTAAATGATAAAACCAGGCATCCAGTAGAAGTCCAGTCTATCATGCTGATGTTAAAAAAAACCTGCTCGTTCCCGTGCGAAGCTTACATTTGTGCAAGTGAGCACTCAGCCACAATCCATGCTTAAATTGACTACAAAGGTGACTCGGTCAAGAGCTCAACCAATACGTGGACACTACGACACAATATTTTCAGAAATATCTTCCAAAAAGATGAAAGCTTTCTTCAAGTACACTCCAGTGAGTCAGTCTCTTTTCCAGGAACAACCATCGATTGGTCCTTTGTACAATTTTGAGTGTAGACATTGGCTTTTGTTCCCCTTTCTTCATCACACCTGACCAACAGATCCAGTTACAAACTTTACATCAAGAACAATATGCTTTAGAAAATGAGGGCTTCGACTGAAAGCAACCCAAGTTCCTCTTCGAAGCCCTTCGACTTGAGCAGAACTTAATCACTCCCCTGGCTATATAAGAGTCCCTTCCCTCCCTTTGTTCGTTCCCTTCTTCAGATTCTCTTCAGATTCCTTTTTCATCAAGTTGTCTTCTGTCACCAAGTTCCCTGATTTCTTACGATCTTGTATCATCAGCTTCACTTGCATCAACTTGAACTTCCATCATCTCTTGACATACATCTTCGCTCTACATACATTTCTCGACATACGCCTCTCTACATACATCTTTGTTATACATACATCTCTCGACATACATCTCTCGACATATAACTCTCTCATCACACATCTCTCACTCTCACCCTACCTCTCACCCTACCTCTCATACATCTCTCACTACCTCTTACACTGTCTTTCACGTCATCTTCCACCACATCTTTCATCATGTGTGGACACGTCACCACTCTCTTCCGCCAAATCTCCTCTACCCACTCCCAAAACACAATCTGTGTTCTGGAGGACCTCAATAACAACGAAGACTGGTGCAAGACTCCCGACGATGCACCAAACATCACAGAGGACTCCGAAGACAGCTACTGGCCCAACCTAGAAGCCAGCATCGACAGCAACAAGGTCCAGTTCAAGGACCTCTCCATCGAGTGTGCTGTCTGCCGCGCCGACGTGACCATCTTCCCGAAAGATCACGTCGTTGAGGAGGAAGTCGGCGAGAGCCACAGGGCCGTTATCCTCCCCTGTGGACACATCTTTGGCGCCTCGTGCGTCAAGAGATACTTCGACATGAAGTCGCAGGAGAGAGCTCATGCCTCGTGCATCAAGTGTCGAGCCGCGTGCTACCACCCTGCCTGCGGACATCCCTTCTACGGGGAACCCATGCCATGCAGCTTACCACGCATGGCATTCACCCCGCATGTCGTGGGCAAGGGTGGTAGCATTGACCAGCGGTGCAAGACTTGCACCTACAGAAATGTAATAATGGATATTATTGCAGAGGTCAAGCGGGCATCAGACCGCACCAAGGCGATGGACAAGTTCTTGGGCGTGGTTCTCAAGATCGACGGCAAGTCGTATACGCTCCGAGACTGCATAGACGGCCTGGACCGTGGGGTCCTGGAGCAGGTGTACCTCCCAGAGTCTGTGGGAGACCTCCTCGCCGGCTACAAGGACCGGCTGGAGAAGAAAGAGGACGGGCAAGACTACTGGATAAGTGGTCGACTCGGCGATTGGGGTGCCATAATATATGCCCCCAAACAACAGAACTGGGGCATATTGCCCAGAGAATGATGGGACATGAACTGCATATTTATTTTTTTTTATTTTTTTGAAAGTAGAGATATATGGCTGCTAGACATAATATTCTTTGTTTGTCTAAAGTGCAAAGAATAATCTGTTTAATTAGTTACAGTATGGCAAAATGTTGATATACACCTGCATTAAAAATGTAGATTGTACCACCACTGATCATTTTAAAACATCACTTGTGACTGTCTTGTCAGAAAATGACAGAATGAATCCTTTGGCCAAAAGTGACACCATACTTGTAATAAAATAGCATATCAATCTTCATAAGTGCTAAACAAAAAATCTCATCCAAAGGACGATCCGTAACCATAACATACATACATAAGAATCCTTAAAACCATCATAATCATTTCGCTGATTCCCAGATCAGCACAATAACACTATCCTTGATCTCACCCAGTTCCTCACCCCATCTCTTCTTCAAAGCCGGCTCATCGATAACACCTCTTTTCACGTAAGCTTGCCACACATCACCCTCAGTGGTAGTGACGGAGTCCATCAGCTTCCACACATTTCGTCGTCCTGTCCAGAACAGCATCTTTCGGTCTGTGTCTCTTTCTTTGAGCTTCACGGGTCCTATGACAGAACGACGAGAAGAACTGGCTTTCCCAGCGGTGGAGAGGGGCATGTCCGAGAGATGAATTCCATCAGGGTATTCGGTTATGGTGTACCCATTCACGAGGACCCAGTTGTCGCGGAAGCGGTAGCGTTGGAGGAAGCACGCTTCGCCGCAGACGTCGGTGACGAGATGAGCTTGGCTTGGGGTGAGGTGATGACGTCCTCCATAGTCGTGTAAGGCCAGTGGTTGAATGCCTGTCTCATAACTATCCAGATGGGAAGAGTAATCGTCGTTATCCTTGGGTGAGTAGAAGCTGGGTATAATGTGCATCTTCATCTTGGTATGCTTTGCCAAACAGTCCTGAAGAATACCGTCCCAGCGTTTTTTGCTCGTAGGACTGTCTTCGACGCCATCAAAGCATGAAAGATGCGTGACTTTGGATATAGCAGGTCGTGTAAGAAAGATGGCTCCACCTCCATAGGTCGTCATGAATCCTTCGCCGATAGCCCAGTCTCCTCTCTCACTAGGCAATCCAATGTACAATTCTTTCTCAGAGTTATACGCGAATAGTCGTTCTTGGAGATACGAAAGGTTGGGAAGAAAGATCTCCTCGTCCAAAATGCCGTACCACTTCTTCATCTGTCCTTTCTGTGCGAGTGTAGCACTATACTTCTTGACCGACTCCATCATGTTGAAGTATCTCTTGGCCGTCGATATCTGACCCTCAGATATAGTAACGTGTGCATCAATACCGAGAGAAACCAACACCTCGGTCAGCTTCTTCGCTTGTTGATAATGTCCCTGATCCAGAACAAGCAGAAAACTCGCTCCGTTGCCATGCTGATTCCCACCAGTCATCCATCTTGCCCAATCCTTTGCAACAGCGTAATCATCCCTAACAACGCGATCAAAACTCGTCGAGATCGCAAACACAAAGTCCGAAGCGTCGATCTGTCCTGGTTTCGGTCCTCCAACAATGGGAAGGTTCAGTTCCTGTCGTGCAACCAGATTTCTCCTCTCGGGAGTCTTGGTATCGATAATTCGTGGTTGATTTGAATGAAAGTCTGTATCGATGTTCGTGACTGAAGTATACTCAGAGTCCTGCTCTGAAACCCGGACTTTCCATGCAGTCCATGAAGTTTGATCCGAAAGTCCAATTTTCTGCCTTAGTCGCTCGAGGTACTGTTCTTCCGGAACTGGTCCTTTGATGGCGATTTCATTGTTGGCGTTTGCTCGAGGCCAGTGCAGCCATCTTGTCTGAAAGAAGAGAACAACGACGACAACAAGAACAAGCAGTTGAACAACCCTGCGGGGAATAGTAGGCGGGCTAGAAATCATAATCATGATGAATAGACGATCCAATCCAGTAAAAAAGAGTGACTTGGGTGGGTATAACCTGGATAAATTAGTGTGTTGCTTGGCTATAACAAAGGCATGATCACGCTGCGAGAGGCGGGTAAGGACTGACTACGGTGAAAGAGAAGAAGCGAAGAGGCTTCGACTCGCGAGTCGTGAGGCACAGCGAGAGATTTAAGCAAATTAGAGTAAAATGGCGTAGAGTGACAGACTGTCACAATGCCCTTGTCTAGTGTAAGTGGTAAATGGCCGCAGTGGGGGAAGGCCATCCTTCAAAGCATCATGAAACTAGGCGCCCCAGGCCATGATCCCTGGTCGCACCACGTCAATAACGGTTAATGAGGGGAAGGCCAAGGCAAGCAATTAAACTGTGACAAGGTCCGTGGTTCGTTTCGTGGCTGATCAGTGGAGGTCTCAGGTCACGATATGTCCAAATACAGCAATGAGAAACAATTGGAGCCAGTGTCAGAACTGAAGATCTTTTGACTCCTGTTTCTGACAGCGTCTATTCAAAGTCCCAATCAATGCATGAAGGATGCTGATGTTTGAATCCTGGTGGGTGAGAGGCTATGACGGAACGAGAACTAGGTTGGGTGGTAATTTAATCTCTTGCCAATAATCAGACTAATGCAGGTACAACAACAGCCCTAGTCGCAAAATAAGTCGATTTCGGTAGGTAATTTATCTGATAAGCGGCAAAGCTAGGAAATGACCGCATCCCGTTGGAGATTCTTTGCCGAGCTCTAGCCTTGCATCATTCGCTAGGCTTGCTGGTGGCTGGACCCTTTTCCCCTTGGACTACTTCAGCATGCAGTGGCTTCATCCTAGGCGGTGTGATAGGTTCTGTTGCTGCCCTCGTGTGTGTCGGTGTTGATGCCACTGTTGTCGGTGCTCGTGCTGGTATCGGCATAGGCATCGGCATCGGCGGTAATGGCAGATGTTGAGGTTGGGATCCGCGTCGTGAAAGCGGCGTTGATGAGCTTGGGGCATAAGACGATGGCATATTGGCTTCAACTGTTCGTCTGGCGTGTTCGAAACGATCGTAGCACTTAGCGAGAGCCTCTTGGACCGACTGGTCCGCACGTACAATACCCGTGGCGAGAACTTCTCTAATGTGATCCTCGACCTTTTGAAACTCGGACTTGTCGTATCTGTATCGATCCGGAATACCGCTGTTGTGCAACAGAGCCAGCAGCCCTGCGATGACTGTGTTTGACGCAGCGAGAATAGTGATGGCTGTGTCGCTAGCGCCTCCAGAGCTGAGAGCAGTGATGCTGGCACCGATCATCAACTGCAGGACAAAAAGAATTGCGCGAACGAAGCCGATGAAGTGAAATGAGTAGGATGAAATGGCACGACGGTAGATGCAGTCGCGATATAAGCCATGAGGAATGCCGTGCGGGGGCCAGAAGCTATTGGTCGGATGAACAGGCCTGTTGTCTTCTATATCTCTGATCCCGCCAACTCCCCGAGCAAAAATGGCCCATTCTGTAGACGATAGGAAGCGATACTTAACATTCTTATGCTTTTTCTGACTGTGGCTATTCTCCGTGCTGCTCTGATCTGCTCCGCTCATGTAGTGTCCGAAATTCTGAGTTGGGTCCATCGATGTCTGTGGGACAGTTGAATCAACCTCTGCCATGATAATGCTGACACGCTATCGTGCTCTGCAACTTATATCTACTATATATCGTGAAGTGAAGTGCGAGTATTGAAGGGATTAAAACATGCTAATGAAAAGACCGATATAGGCGCAAACGGTGCTTGAAGAAGCTGGCTAGGGCCAATAAAAGGATGCTGCAAAGGAAATGAAGACCAAGATTGGTAAAAAAATAAATAAAAAATGAGATTTCTGGCGATGTAAAAGGCATTCGTTGCTCGGCCTTTCCCGTCGCCATGTTATCTTGTCTCATCTGAAGGCGGAATCTCATGCCCATTGCGGCTTCCACCGCGTAATCTTCATCCATCTTCATGAATTCGGCGATATCAGGTGCCTTCTATCAATCTCTTTCGGTTCATCCTCTTGGAATGTAGGTATCTTACCAAGTTGAGCATCATCCCGAGAACCAGGATCCTTCTGCACAAAAACGTTGTGATATCGTTTCGCACTTCACTTACACGAGCTGTTGGTCTGTACGACCTACGAGGGACCCTGCCAAGTCGCAATAGGTAATGTTTACGATAGAATCTTCAGCAACGCTGCAGGTCTCAGCCTCAAAATTCTCATTCTCAAGTCCAGGAATGTTCAGTGTCTCATACGCAACCAAACCACGACTCCTCGTACAAAATAATAAAGTATTCTCAAAGAATAGCTGTATTCATAAATAGATATCATTTCTATGTTCAGTTTCATGTATATAACCCGTCCTTCTACTCAGCAAAGTACAGCCCCAATCACTCATGACTCTAAATCACTGCGTATTCCCTCCTGATCCGAGTAAACCATGTAGAACCACCTAAGCCATACAAACGCCACAGTGCATACATACAATCAACGATACACTCGCTAAATATTTCATCCTTCAAAATCAAGAATCCTGCACGAGATGGGGGATGTCGTCCACTTTGGCCTGTCCGTTGAGAATGGCATTCACCGCCGTGAACAGCGGATACTCCGACTCCAGACCACGAGCCTTGAGGAAACTGTTCACCTCCTCTGCAGTGGTTGTACCCTGGATCTTCTGTCCGTTGAGTTCCTGCTTCTCGACCTCTTGTACGGAGATTCCCTTCTCGACGGCCTTCTTGGCACAGCGGAAGTTACGACCGCCAGAGCAGGATGTGATAAGATCGGCGACACCGGCGGAAGATTCGGTAAAGGTAGCTGTGTGGACGGTCTCGCCGAAGAATTCCTTGCCGAACTTGACCATTTCCATGAGGCCGACGCGCATGATGGCTGCCTTTGCGTTATCACCCCAACCACGACCGTCGACGAAACCAGCTGCGAGAGCAACTACGTTCTTCAATGCACCACTCAGAGATACACCCGCAACGTCGGAGACCAACTGGACGTGGAAGTAAGGTCGGTGGAAGAGTGTTCTGAAGCAATCCTGATCCAGGGGAGGGTAATCGGCAGGCACAGCGGTGAGCTTAGTCTTGGAAGTTCGGCCTCGAACGTCCTTGTGCTGCATCTCAGGGAGCTCGCCAATTGTAGGGTTGGGGCTACCGGTTCGTGGCGTGGGAGCTCTGCTGTTGTCGAGAGCAGGAGGATCGTAAGCAATGGTAGTCTCTGACCACTTCTCCTCAGCAATTTCACGAGCCAAGTTAGCACCACTAAGGGCACCACAGTAAATGCCTAGGCCATCACCAATCCACTCGCTGAACAAGCTGATACCGTCATCAGTGACATTGACACCCTTGATACAGCTGATTCCTCTGGCATAAGGAAGAATGTGTCCGTTGACTTGCTTGCAGACGTTTGCGATGAACTGATGGGGCAAGTTGAAGACGAGGATGGTGGAGTCTTTGACAGCGTCGCGAATGTCGGGGTTGGCGATAATGTTTGAGGGCAGAGGAATACCAGGCAGGTACTTTACGTTCTCGTGGTGCTTGTTGATGACTTCTGTGAGCTTCTGGGGCTTGTCGCCCGTGGTTTCGTCATATAATTTGGAGTCCTTGGTGATCGTCACGTCCTCCTCATAGACCCACATCTGGACATCTTCCTCGAAGAGATCTTTGTTGGCGCGTGTGTTTTCAGCGACGATCTTGGCGATTGTTGAGCCCCTGGACAGTATCGTTAGTCAATGGCTCAAGCAAAGATAGAGGGAGAGCCGGAGAAGCGGAAGACATACCAGTTACCGGATCCCACAATGGTCACCTTGTGCTTCTTTGAATGTCCACCCAAGCTCGCCATGTTGCCGAATGTCGCAGAAGAATAAGAGCGGATATGAGTAGTAGTACAAGACAGTAATCTCGAAGATTTAGCAAAGACAAAAGAAGAGCGCACTACAAGCGATCGAAACATACAGAGGGCAAGAGGAGAATCGAGAGTTGTGCAAGGTAAGGGCGAAAAAAGAGCTTTATGAGGGGTACTGAAGCTGAATAGTCCGAGGGAACCAGCTCCAGCTTTCCAGGTTGTTGAACCCTGGAGCAAGCCACAATGACGCATGGCAGAATGAGATAAGTGACACCGCCTGCTCTAAGGGGGAAAGCGTCCCATCAAAACCCCATTGATATCCGTGATAATGGAGCTGGAGAAATCTCGAGACCTTGATGAGGCCGAGGGGCAGTTTTTCACATGCAAGCAGATATTCAATGCTGTGGCTGCATATGTCAATTGGAAGCTGTTTTTCTAGAAGAAGCTCAGAGTTATAGCCATATAAGTTAAAACACTATATGAATCACGCTTGAAAGAATATTTCACTCTCAACAATATCTTCAATCACATGGAAACAACACAAAATTCCAATTCAACTTTTTTAAGTGGGATTTCACATGTCGAACAAAGAACCTCGAAACAAGGATCTCTGCAAAGTCTAGGATTCTCCGGGAGACAAGGGGGCAAAGATGCATAATCCAGGAACAGCTACAGCACCGAGCCCCGTTCCGTAATCCGCGGGCCGATCCCCTTGTCGCGTGACGAGCACATGTCAGGACAAAAAGAAATCATGGGCTTGGATCAAATGATGTAGATTTCGAGGTTATCACTACTAAGAGTCGCTTCATATCACGATATCAACCACTGCCGAGGATGTATCGTTGCATTGTGACTGGCTCAAGGGCGCTAGAGCTCAACTGCATGTTGACGTTGCCAAGTTTACCCCAACGGAGTCATCTCACTCCCATCCCTTTTATCCGTACAGAGATCAGTATATTTAACAGAGATACGAATGCCTGCATTTGGTAATCTGAAATATTTGATATGAAATTATATCTCTCCAATCTGAACTTTTGCCAATGTGAATGCTGATCAGCACCCTAATAAGTGCCAATATGGAAAAACAGATATGTCCCATTACCCAGCGGTTAAGAGCAGTTAAATTCCACGACTAAATTCACTACGTTGTCCTTTCAGTTATACTCGCCCAATAATTCCAACTTCTCCTCATCTACCGAAGGGAAGTGATTAAGCATAGCCGACAGAGAGCGTTTCCTCCCGTGTGTTTTCCTCTCGTCCTTCTCTTCAGTCCTTTCGCCATTTCCAAAAACAGGCTTGAAAACATTATCGTAAACCATCCAGGCAACAGTGAACATAACAGTCATAGTGACAGCTAACCACTGGGGCACTTTGCCGCGTTTGTCGGCTAGAAATTTGGACAGAAGAATAACCGTTCCGAAGAAGAAGATAGTGAAGAACAGGAAAAAGAATGCTCCTATTCTCTGTCTCAACGTTGTTATCGTGTATGGCTGTAGTGAGTGCAGGTAACGCTGATATCCATCAGGAAGTTCGTGTTCTTTGGCACCGGCTTTGATGAGATTGAGATATCGAGCACTGGCTTGTGCATAGCCAGGCTCACGCTGAGGACCGAGCAGGAAGCGATACCACCACTTGTGCTTGCGAGGGTCATCAGGCAAGTCCTTGTCAGGAATCTGTGGTGCGAAAAGCGTTCTTGACAGAAAAGGTCGAGGAATATCAGGGAATGGCTTCTCGGGGATTGACATCTTGGGAGGCAGTGGTATGCAAGGCACGACAATCTCTTTGTAGCCTGCTCCGCCACCTTCAGTGCGGATGATGGTGCGGTAATCCTCCTCTGTTACTTCGTACACCACACCCATAAGACCTTCATCCCACCTAAGCTCCTCAGAGTGAGGTGGCTGCGGAGGCTCAAAAGGTGGGATTGGCACCTTTGGAGGCAGCTTTGGCTTCTCGGGAAGCTTTCTGTAATCGACGTTCGCAAAGCATGGTTCGCGATAAGGAATTCCAGGAAGGTTGAACTTAAGCTCCAACGTTGGCACTGAGACATTCACCTGGGACAGAGGTCTAATGCCACGAACGCCCAAAAATGTCTCGGCGGCGAGGTTGGATCCATAAGCGAGATAGAGATATGTCTTTGGCGCAGGATGGTCTCGATCGATGACATGATCCTCGGCAGCTTGAGCCAAGCGTGCAGCTGATGTACGAGGGATAGAAGAGATCGGCGGGTACCTCTTCGGTTCGGGCCGCTGCGCAAGAACACTGAACTTGCGCAGAACGACAGAAAGCGAAGATTTACTGGCTGCGTCGCGGGCGTTCATTGGGTTTGACATGACGTATGTCGAGCGAGAAGCTTAGACGTCAGCTTACAACTGATTGATAGGGCAGTTGCACAGGTGTAGCTGAGACAGATCGGTGATCCTGCCAGGTGGCGGAGGAGGGATATATAAAGCGCTCGCAAATAATAAATGTCACAATAAACAATAAACGTTCAAAGCATGGGGTTTCCAGGGAGATAGGAGGCGTTGTTCATCATGAAACGGGTCATCGATTCGGGCGGAGCGGAGATAGTGGGCATCCCTCACTGCGCTGCTGAATAATGCGCCGCGTGGATAAGGCATGGGAATAGTTGCGCCGACCGATGGTCCGCAGCCAAAGTCCGCTTCACACTACTGAATCCCGGACCATCGGGTTTTACTAGGATTATGTGACGAATTGGCTTGCTGAAAGATTACCAAGCGATGTCCCGGCGCGATAGATCGCAGATCAACATTAATAAAATCCTCCATTGTATTGAGAAACCCTCCGGCTGTGCAGGGTAGGCTGAACCAATTCAACCACTTCAACAACTGACACCGACTACTACCTTATCACCCATATCCATCAAAGGGCTTTCTTGATATTCGTATGCCAAAATAGGTGGGGTGAAGTGTAGTTCATGTGAACTAAGTGTACCTCAAGTTGACTTGTTATGTTGGAGTTGGACGTATTGAAATCGAATTGTGATATTTTTGATGTTGTATACTAAAGTGATATCATAAACCCAGTATTTCGAACGCTTTTCTTTCTCTTATCGTACATTAACGAAATCTTACTTTCAGAAATACCTAGGTAGCTTAGATTTTACGCAGTGATTCACGAATGAGTGGGCAGGTGCCATCAATGAAGCAGGCAAGAGCCATTCAACTTCGAGCATGCCCGCTCCTTCCATTTTACCAGCAGCTTGCATCATCTGCTCCTACCTCTCTCTTACCAAATGACAAAACGTTCTCAAAATAACTCTACCATACATTTTAAAGATTCTTCGATCTCGCTTGTGATCTCGGTACCGTTTTATTTCTCCCTCTCCCAAGCAGGCGATGGCCCAAATTGCACCCTCCAATCATTTAGGGGACTGTAAGTCAGATCCCCTACAAGTTGTGCACCCCTCCAGTACAGTTCCATCCACTGACAGTCTTGCAGTATGCACCAATGCCGCAGCGAAGAGGTGGGAAGTCTGGCCCACGCGCAAAGCGTACGCGGCATTCAGCGAGGATTGGGGCCCTAGGGCAACTCGACACTACCCCAAATCGTCACGATCAGTCTCCTCGTGCAGTTCAGACTCAGGATCCAACACCGGCATTACCAAATCAGGGCGCCAATATTGAGCCTCCAAACTCTGATATACCGTCTACAAACGAATTTGATGATGACCTCAACGAGGATGATCTGAGGCAGTTGGTTGAAGCTGAAGCCGTTCCATCCGCTCAACCACCTGCTGATTTCTCATGGTCTGAAATCGGTTCAACACGCCGAAGCACGCCTCTACGGGAAGACGAACCAAGCTTTCTAGATAACCAAGATTCTCTTCTCGACGAGTTTTCCAGTCCAAAGTCCGGTCTAGGCAAGCTTCCCAACACTCAGCCACTGCCATCAGAGCCTGATCAAGAAAGCAAAGAACCTCCTTTTGTTGACTTTTCTGAGACAGCTTCTACTATACGACGAAGTTCACCTTATTATTCGTTGGCTGCCTCTCAGATCGGAGATGACGAGGTACTGAATATAGTGGAAAACAATCCTTTGGCACCACTACCAAGTACCATCCAAGATTCGATACAATCTCTTGGGTTGCCACCTTTCCCTGAGTTAGAAGCTATGGATCACTTGCCGGAAGACGAGCTGTATGATGTCACGCCTCCCAAGTCGACCGCTGAGCTTGAAGCTGAGACGTCGCGAAAAGAGGAGGAAGCACCTGGAGCTGCCCCAGAAAGTTCACAGCGTACTAAGAAGCCAAGTTCGTCACAGAACTCAAAGACAAAAGGCGTACCGGGGAAGACCTCAAAAAAGCATGATGCCCTTACGAGACTGTTAAAGGAGGAGCTGGGTTCATCAGGAGAAGACGAAGGAGAGGAGCAAGCTTCTTCACCTCCTGAAAAGCCACCAGTAAAGCCCCCAAAGCCGAAGAACGGCGCTCGCAAAGGCAAAGAGACACCAAAAAGGAAACCTGCCGCTATGGAAACTCAGGATATTCGAGAAGATGAGCAGCAACCCAAAGGAAAGAAAGGCCGGAAACAAAGAGCGAAGACCCCCATCCAATTTGACGAAGAAACACAGCAAATAAAAGAGGTTACACCACGCAAGGTACCAGAACAGCAGCCTCGCATGCCTATAGTGAGCAGTCTCAGAAAATCATATGCTGCCTCTGTGTCTCCTATTGCAGCTGCAGGAAAAGGGACGCCCGGCTCGAAACGAAAGCCTGCACCAAAGCGCAAACCGCCTGCTAAAGATTTTCCCAAGAAGGAGAAAGCTCCCCAGAAAGCTCCGCCAGCTACACGAAAGTCAGGTTTGAAGAACGTGGTGCCTCAAGAGAAACCTGATACAACTGAAAAGAGGAAAGAACGTGCAGTCCCTGCTACAAAAGTAGCAGCTAAGCCTGCACCCGTGATTACCAAGAGAATAACCCGAGCCAACGTGAAAGAGGAAAGTGGACCAATGTCACAGCCTTCAAAAGTCCAAGAGACACAAGAATCAAGAAATGAGACTCAGGGATCAACTCAGGACCCTATCGTGCTCTCTAGCGACCCTGAAAGCTCTTTGTTCTCGGATGATGACGATGCCTTCGTTCCAATCGAAGACTTACACCCAAATGAGAAGACTCAACCAGCAAGGAAGGCCCAATCAGTAATGGGAGAGTTACTTGTTGACCCAATTGTCGATGTGGAACCAGTAGGCCATGCTCATCGCGAGAAAGCGCAGCCTTCTACACGGCGGCAGACCCTACCGCAGAATCTCGAGGCTCCTCATCCTTCAGGTCCCCAAGAAGAGCAAATATCTAGGCAGAGGACAACCATGAAGGTTAAGCGTGACCCTCAGAAGCTTGTCGAAGAACCTCTCCCAAGCACGAAGGGACTCGGTGCAATTCAAAAGGGTCGGGAGGTTTTGTCAGCTCGCGATACTAACATTCGCCTTCAACAAGATACCTCACAAGCAAGGACCCTGAAAAGACCTGCTGCGACAGTTGATCCCATCATTGATGCTTCTCACCCACCTCGGAAGATCAGTAAAACTTCAAGGAGCTTCAGTGTCAGCCAAGCGGGTAGCCCGCTGCCACTTGAAACAAGCCCAGCGCAGCCTGTCAGTGGAACAAGTCCAAGTGCTATGGAAGAAGTTGAATCTGCGAAAGTGCCCAAGCGCAATCAGCAGACGGAGCCTAGAAGATCCCAACGCCTTCGAAGAACTGCGGAATAGGAATCCCTATACCCCGATGGCAATTACTTACAACAAGAGTACCTCTCTAGTCTGGCAGCTGCAGAGGCTATCCCTGACAAGACCAGAGTGGGATTGAGACCCAAACCGAACATGAAGGTCAAAACTGAGCCTGTCAACCTACACCCCGAGCCAAGTTCAAGTGATCAAGGCATTCATGCTCAGATACTGGCGTCCCTGCAGGGACAAAAGGAAGCGACTGCCGAAGTGGAACAGGCCATGGAGCATGACAAAGTCCGCGGCAATAGAGAGTATCATAGACAGACACGACCGGCCGGGCCGAATGCAGAGATAGGAGAGAAACTCCATGGGCTAGTCGAGGTAAGTCCCTTGCCAAAGGTCAGTTCAATGCTAATATGCTGCCTAGATGATGCTGGACCATCTCCAGGCCAAAGAAGCGACCATCTACCGTGGCGCTGATGCCTATCGGAAGAATGGCATCAATTGCGTGGAGAAGATCGAACGACGCTACATGCAGGAGAGGCAGGCGCTCAATGAAACGTGGAAGAAGGATAGTGATAGGTTCCTCCGGGGGACGCGGGCAGCCAAGGCACAGATTGATGAGCGCGGAAAGATACGAGAGAAGGCGATGCAGCAACTGAATGAAACGGCAGCAAGGCGCCGTCACTTATTTGAACAAGCGACGACAAGTTTACGAGCACTTCATGGACGATTGATGCAGGGAAATGTTGCAGACTACGAAAATTGAGGTGATTTACTGTACAGATTTTGTAATGACAGAAGATGGGATTTGCTGGAGCTAGGTAAGGAGCAAGTCTGACTCAAGTGGTGGGTATGTGATGGCAGTTGGTGGAATGGGGACTGAAAATCAGGGTTCAATAGCGGCAGGGATCAAAAGGTTGATTGATGGGTTAGTTTCATGTTAGTCGAGCGGTAAGGATCCCGAGCCTGGCCAATGTTATGCTTGATGAGAAGTCGCTGGGCATCGACAGTGACTTAGTGACTTATTGAGGAGTGATGTCCTCGCTATGATGGTACACATGGTCACGTATTACAGAATCTGGGCAAGATGTGAAGCGATCTTAAGACGATTGAGACGATGTTAAGATGGGGTGTGAAGCAAATCCAAGGATTGAGACGCATGCTGAATGGACGGATGAATGGGAAGAGAGCCATGCTTGCTTATTTGATGGGGCTAGACTCGATACGGGAAGCATCGTACACTGGCTTCACTGGCGTTTGGATGAGGGTGGAAGAATACTTGGCGAATAACGGTTAAAGCCAAGCGAGAGGGAGACGAACATCACGATGGGGACTGGATGAAATAACCATGAGACACTTGGAGACAAGTGCTGTTGATCTTGCGTGCCATGATGAGCATCACGATATTCGAGATTAGCTGCCTGCCCTATCGAGCTGATACATTACTGCATTCGTGGCTGGTGATGTCGATGCCTGGAGTGTACAGTCCGGGAGGCGTTTCCGGCGCGATAACGAACATGGGAAACGATGACGATGGTGGTTTTGTTAGGTTGTGGGTGACGTAGCGACTTTGTGGCGCGGACGGGGTCATTCCCAAGTCCGAGATTTAGATGGTATGCATGATATAAGAGATCCAGACCTGCCGATGAACAGTACGATTAATGCTGCTGTATCTATTATACTATAAACCGATTTACGAATATTAATTATCTCTTTATTATTATTAATATTTAATCAATTCTTTGCTTGGACCACTTGCGCTTGGATATCCTGCACTTTGTTTGTTACAGCTTTGAAACTTGAGTGGCACGACGCGACAGGATGGGTTCAGATGATGCGGGGCATATTTCTACATCAGGGTGAGTAAGACGATTGTTTCGTTCTGTTCTGTTCTGTTTCGTTTGGCTTTGTTCTGTACTATCCCGTTTATTCAGAGGCCAGTGCATTTATCTTGTTTCAGTCATGAACAATGGGCACATCCATATCCCCAACCACTCTTTGTCACATCGTCATATGACCACTCTGCATAGGGGAGGCCCAACCTTTCTTCGTCCTAGGTGACGAAAAAGAGCAGTCTGAGGGGCCCCCTGATACTGCACTAGATTTGCCTAACTCCTTTTGTCACTGGATAATGAGGTCCTGAGTTCTGGCCCGTCTGCATCAGTCAAAGCTGGCTTGCCCGCATTACATCTCTTACAAGCAGGGGGGGCCTCCAGGGCATTGACGCTAAATTGCCAGTGCCGTTGCCTGCCCCGCCTCCACTGCGTCCTGTGCTCGTGGACTGGGCTGAGCCTCCTGTCCAACGCGGCAGCTGCAGACACTGCCCTTCGCTCCAGTTTTTTTTTCCTTTCTCTTTTTTTTCTCCCCAGACCTCAACCATTTTTCTACGTTGCACAAGGGTCAAAACTACCTGAAAAGCCTCGGTATAATACCACTGCCACTAGTTCAAAGGAGCCTTTCTATTGTGTACGGATTCCTCTTATTCAGATTACTATTATTGACCCCGCTTCCACTAAATCTTCTGTCTATTGTTCCCGTCAGTCACTTACACTGCCACTTGCTGCATCTGTTCTTCTGCTACAGCTCAGATTACTTCCATCCGTTCTACTTCTTCATCCTTATAACACTCTCATCTTTTACAAACTTTTATCTACCAATCCTCAGCGCATTATCGCCCTTTGTGCATCAGTCTTTTTACCAATCGTTCTCTGACATCCTTGCCTTTCTACAGCCGTTTGCACGGTCTACTTAACTTTCGGAGCCGCCGATCACGACGACCAGGCAGCTTAAGCTCGGCTGACACCTCGGACTCAACCTTAACCGCCAATTCCGACTACGAGATCACTCCCGCAGACTCGACATCGTATTCTCCTGAAATCTCACCTCGTTCGTCGACGTCATCTACTTCTACTTCATCCTCGACATCCAAGCAACACAAGATGCCGTTTCGTCAGAGGATGGCCCGCCACTTTGGCGATTCGGTATGTAACTGTAACCCCGCATCTCCGTGCGTGCCTGTCTAGGTATCGATCCAATGCGCCTATCTATGAGATGCGCTTTTGGTAGAGTTTATCATGGAATGCGACTTGTCTTGTGGCGTTAACGCTAACATCCTACATAGCTTGCTCCCGAGAAACCCTACCTCAGCTACTATGATGTCCTCTTGACAGCTGAGGATATCAAGGCGCTCAAGCACGACTGGTTAACGGATAACAATATTGCTTTCTGGGAGGAATATCTGGAGCGCGAAACACTTCCCAAGTACCCTCAGGCTCGTATCGTCCTGCTCCGTCCCAGCATGACATTCCTTCTCATGAAGGAGCCCGACCTCCGATCAGTCCAATCCGCCCTTCCCGATTTCTCAAAGGTCACCCATATCTTCCTACCCATCAACGACAATCGTAATGTGAGCGTCGCAGAGGGTGGTAGCCATTGGTCACTTCTCCTTGTCTCGACACTCGACGGTGTCGCCTTCCACTACGACTCCCTAGGTGGTGCCAACTACTCCGAGGCCAACGTTGCGACTCGCAAGCTTGCCAATATCCTCGGGCGGCCTCTTAGATTTATCAACCTCGAGGATTGCCCCCAGCAGGAGAACGGAAGCGACTGCGGTGTCTTTGTCTGCTTGTTGATGCGACACCTCCTCGTCAAGCGCCTTCTCTGCGCTAATGCCCGCGAGAAGGTGTCGATGAGCATGGGTGGTAAGATGGTCGACAGCTATGGTGGCCGCAAAGAGATGATGCGAATTATCGAAAATCTCCGTAAGGAGGGTGAGCGCAGGCGATCGTGAGTGCCCCCAACTCTTTTCTTCTCCTTTTTGTCCTTTGCATAGCGTATCTAATAGTCAAGATAGGAGAAGCGCCAGCCCATTTTCGAACAAGACACCGCCGCGGATCGAATAGAGAACGGACTGCTACGGCTCTTGCGAAGAGTTCGAGGAACTCGTCAGACAAATCAGGGAAGCTCAGGCGGCAAAGGCGCGTAACGCCCGGCAGCCCCCAAAGTCACCACCTCGGTCACCACGCCGTTCATCTTCCCGTTCTCAAGAGACCAAGAAGTCACCCGTCAACCAAAGCGGCAAGGGTTCAATCGCCAAGGCTCTGGCCACCAAACCCAAGGTTTCTCCCCCCACTAGACTCGTTGATCAACCTCCTTGGAGAGGAATGAGGAACCGTGTGTGCACAAACCCGAATCCAATCCGATCTTCCAAGGATTCACCTCCTCTTGACCCACGAGCATGCAAGTCCGATCGAGTTACCAAAGAGCCTAGGATTCAAACAAGTCCTCCAACCCCCGTCAAAGTTCGAGGTAAGCGGTCTTCCAGCGCATAGGCTCTTACGCCTCAAAATGTCATCGAGACCCAACGATGCAATTGTTCCACCACTGTAATGAAATGAATTTTACGACGGATGCGTCACGGTCGATCAGTCTTGTTTTTATCGTCTCATTTTGTCCTTCATATTCACCCTGTGTCTTTTTTATCTTGGCGTTGGTGGTTAGCGTGGAGCAGTAAGAGGGATGTGGTTATCATGTAACAGAGAAAGATGCCCATACACGCGTTTGTTGTTTTAATGATACTCCCAGATATCAAAGTATGCGAGTTAGCGATGAAGGCGTTTGGTAGGATATGAAAAAAGACATGCGTGCATGCATTAGCGCAGCTTATGAAGAATAATTGTACCGTTATAAACCTGAGTGTTGCATCTGTTGTGAAGTATAGTGTAGGCCTTCCCAAGGGAGCATGAAGACTTGGGGTTTATGAAGAAGACCAGATAAACTCGTCAAAAAGTCCCCGAAGCTCATGTCAATTCAAGTAAGTCTTTTTGTCATTTAGGATCAAGATTGCAAGTTTTCTTGCCTGTCCTGGGCCTGTGATCAAAGTATATGATTCCAACTCCATACGCCTGAACAGATTTCTATAAAGATAGCATCTGCCCCCCTTTTGCAACGTCACTTATCGACTTGATCTCCATCTTTGGTATCTTGGATCCTCTCCACGTCGACCTGCTCAGTTCTTCTCAGCAAAAGCTGGATTTTGCTCCATTGTCGAAGAGATATAGCCCCTCAGCGCCGCCCACCGATTCGCAGTTGGCGCCGGCGCAGTCTTCTCCTCCGTCTCAACCTTCTGCGTAGCCACACCATCCTGCTGCGTCAACCTCGCCATACTAACCCCAAACCTCTCCATCTCGCCCTTAACAACTCTCTCCTTTCTCTTCAACGCACCCTTTTTGCTCTTCAAGCTCTTATGCCTAACCTTTCCCTGCTCAACCTCCGCGCCCTCTTCCAGCTCCGGCAGCGCATCAGCTAAACTCTCCAAGTTGGCTGCTAGTTTCTTCGATGGCCGTCGCCGCTTTGTGGATTTGGAGATACGTGCTGATTGGATGCGGGATACGAAGGAGGAGTGCTTGATGAGTCGCTTGTCGCGCTTGCTGGAGAGGAAGGAGTCGGTTACTGCGGCGTCGTCGCGGAAGACTTTTTGGGGGGCTTGGGGGTGGATTTGGCCTGTTACTCGCTGGTGGCGGAGGGTGCGCGCGGAGGGCTTTTTGAGACCTGGGGGTTGAGGAGCCTCGGGTTTGTTAGTTGATTGTTTTTGAGAGTATTAGGGGTAAGGGGATGTACCATTTTGGGTTGTGGTTGTGGTTGGGGTGTTGGAGATGGAGGATTTGGGTATGGAATTGAAGGTGTAGGTGAAGATACTGGAGAAACATTTTCGGTGAGGGTAGCTCACCGAGGTGGTGGGGCACACCGAGATAAAGCGTGGAGGGG